GAAACAGATTCACACACCCACAGTGAACTCATATTTGACAAAGGTGCCAAGAACATACATTGGGGAAAGGACAATCTCTTCAATAAATAGTGCTAGGAAAACTGGATACTCAGATGCAGAAGAATGAAACTAGGCCACTATCTCCTATGATACACAAAAATCAAATCAAAATTGATTAAAGGCTTAAATCTAAGACCTCAAACTATAAAACCATTACAGGAAAACATCTGGGAAAGTCTCCAGGACATTGATCTGGACAAAAATTTATTGAGCAATACCCCACAAGCACAGGCAACCAAAGCAAAAATCAACAAACAGAATCACATCAAGTTAAAAAGCTTCTGCACAGCAAAGAAAAGAATCAACAAAGTGAAGAGACAACCCACAGAATGGGAGAAAATACTTGAAAGTTATCCATCTGATAAGCAATTAATAACCAGAATATATAAGGAGCTTAAACAGCTCTGTAGGAAAAAAATCTAATAACCTGATTAAAAAATGGGCCAAAGATTTGATAGACATTTCTCAAAAGAAGACATTGCAAATGGCAAACAGGTATATAAAAAGGTATCGACATCACTGATCATCAGAGAAATGTAAATCAAAACTACAATGAGATATCATCTTACCCCAGTTAAAAATGCCTTTTATCCCAAAGACAGGCAATAACCAGTGCTGGAGAGGATGTGGAGAAAAGGGAACCTTCATACACTGTTGGTGGGAATGTAAATTAGTACAACCACTATAAAGAACAGTTTGGAGGTTTCTCAAAAAACTAAAAACAGAACTACCATCAGATCCAGCAATCCCATTGCTGGATTCACAACCAAAAGAAAGGAAATACTGAAGAGATATATGCACGTCCATGTTTGTTGCAGCCCTGTTCACAATAGCTAAAATTTGGAAGCAACCTAAGTGTCTATCAACGGATGAATGAATAAAGAAAATGTGATACATATACACAACAGAATACTATTCAGCCATAAAAAAATGAGATCCTGTCATCCGCAACAACATGGATGGAACTGGAGATCAGTATAAGTGGAATAAGGCACAGAAACACAAACATCGCATGTTTTTACTTATTTGTGGGAGCTAAAAATCAAAACAATTGAACTCATGGAGATAGCAGAAGCATGCTTATGAGAGGCTAGGAAGGGTAGTGGGAGGGTAGGGATGGTTAATGGGTACAAAAATATAGTTAGAAAGAATGAATAAGACCTAGTATTTGACGGTACAACAGGGTGACTATAGTCAATAATAATTTAATTAAGTATTTAAAAATAACGAGTATCACTGAATTGTTTGTCACACTTGAAGGAGTGGATACCCCATTTTACATAATGTGATTATTGCACATTTATATGCTTGCATTACAATATTTCATGTATTCCATAAATATATACACCTACTATGTACCCACAAAAACTGAACTGCGTGTGATAGTGATGGTCTCTGAAGGTGAGA